GAAATAAAGAGAGTTTCGGAATTAAGGAGCGGAAAATGAATTAATTTTTTTTCATTACTATTGGTATCTAATTTATTAGAGTTTGACTCGAATTCAAAGAGGCACAATTTAATTAATATATAAATATTGGAAAATAGGAAATTCATTTTGATTAAAAGTAAAAAACTTTATTAAAGTAGATTTTTATTTTATTTAGTTTTCATTTGTAATCAATTATATATCCCTATAAATAGATACTAAAGGTCAGAGTTACATATCAAATTTTTTCTTTCACTAAAATTCTCTTGTATTTTCTTCCTTCATATTAGTAAAATTATTTCCTCTGTCCGTGGTTTTTCTTTTTGGGTTTTCCAAGTAAATCCTGGTGTTATTTGTTTTCCTTTTCGATCATGTTTATTTGTTTGTCGTTAATCATCGTTTCGATATTATAACAAACTAGTATCAGAGTTTCGCGTTCAAGATTATGACAACAATGAAGTATGATATTTCACCGTTGGATCGAAACACCAGGTTTTCGCTATGGCAAGTAAAGATTTGGGATATTCTTGCACATTTAGATCTTGACGATGCAATAGAAAGATTAATGAGAAGTCGGTAACACAATGACGAATGAGGAAAAACGTAAGGATTGTAAAACTATTTTTAGGTTCGTTTACACTAATCAAACCAAAATTTTATAGGATGTATTGAAAGAAAAAATAGTTGTATCTTTGTGGGCGAAATTGGAGCAACTTTGCATGTAGAAATCATTGACCAGCAAGTTGCATCTAAAGTAGCGTCTTTATTTGCTCAAGTTGGCGGAATGTTTGTCTCTTGAAGGGAACCTTATCACATTCAAGGAAACTATCTTTGATCTAGAGAATTTAGAAGTGAAGTATGATCAATAAGACTTAGGATTGATCCTCCTATATTCGTTGCCTCTTTTCTACTCGTCTTTCAGAGATATAATCTTGTACAGTCACGAAACACTCACTCTTGAAAAAGTTTACAATGGCTTGCACTCTTTTGACAAGATGAAATATATTGTATCTGGTTTCGAGCCCTCAACAGATGGTCTTATGATGCATGAATCGATTAGCTAAGACAGTGGGAGAAAATGTGAGCGTTCTTTCGATAGTACTAGAAGGGGTATATCAAAATCTTCCAACCAAGGTAAAATTTGTCACTATTGTAAAAAGAAAAGTCATGTTAAATCGGAGTGTTACAAGTTGTAAAATAAAATCAAAAGAGAAGTTGAAGAGCAGAACTCTGGAAATCTGGTGAGGTTGATATAGTAGAGGAGCACGACGACGGAGAACTCCTAGTTGCGGCTGACGACAACTTTATAACAAGTGATGAGTAGATGCTTGGTTATGGTAGTAATTTTCATATGAGTCTTAATCATGATTGGTTTACGATGTATGAAGTTGTTTCTACAGGTGATGTATTTTTGGGAAATAATGTCCCTTGTAAAGTCGCAGGTATTGACACTATCAATATTAAAATGTTGATGGATTGTTCAAACACTTGGTAATGTGAGACATGCTTTAGATTTGAGTAGAAATCTAATTTCGTTAGGTAATCTAGATTCAAAAGGGTACAAATTCTCCAGTGAAGGTGGATCTATGAAAACTTGTAAGGACTCTCTTGTTGTGTTGAAAGGGTAGAGAAAGACTACCAAGTTTTATGTTCTACAGGGTTCAACAGTTTTAGATAATGCAGTTGATGTTTCATCCACCGTGTCAAATAACGTTGTTGAACAAAATAACAGTGGTCAGAACAGTTATGTGAAGCAGAAAAAAGTTCAATTTCGTGAACATAATGAATTTGAAGATAGAACTATCAACGACGATCAGATCGTGTTGTGCATGATATTGTTCGTGGTGAAACATTTGTGAGCAAAGTTGACACTTATGATAATCATGATGATGTGAAGACTAAATCCAAGCCTAGAAAAAGCTTGGATTCGGTCGGTGTCCATTACTAAAGATTACCCCTTTGAGGGTTGTTGTGGAAGATGTGAAGAACTTGTTCGTTGAAGTGAATAATTGGTTTTTTTAGTTTGGTTGTCACATAGAATTTGGGTGTTTTGTCTCGAAATCTTTACACATTCAAAATTCGTGTCAAGGTGAAAATTTGTTAGAGTTTGACTCGAATTCAAAGTGATACAAATTAATTAATATATAAATTTTGGGAAAGTAGGAAACTCAATTTGATTAAAAGTAGAAAAAATTAATAAAGTAAATTTCTACTTTATTTAGTTTTCCTTTGTAATCAAGTATCTATACCTATAAATAGATACTAAGAGTAAGAGTTAGATATCAAGTTCTTTTCTTTCACCAAAATTATCTTGTATTTTCTTTCTTCATATTAGTAAAATTCTTCTCATGTGCCCGTGGTTTTTTTCTTTTGGAGTTTTCACGTAAATCCTGATGTTCTTTGTTTTTCCTTTTCGATCGTATTTATTTGTTTACTGATAATTATCATTTCGATATTATAACACAATCTAACCTATTTGTAGACTAATATGTACATAATACTGTAATGGTTTATTATGAGAATGATTTTTCTTAACTTTATTACGTATATAATATCATGATTTAAACTCTTCATTTTATTGAATGGGGTGTCTTGTCTTATCTCAGTTAGTAAATAGGTTATGATCTTAAAAATGTTTTTGAACTATTTCGTGTTTTTTATTGTACCTAAATAAAGTCTACTCGTTTTCTGTTTTTTCAAAAGGAATTAAAAAGTGAAATTTAAAAGATGGTGAAGATCAAAGCAAAAGGAAAGAATCATTATTTCCATACCTTTCAGTTTTCCGACTCGTTCTTCGTAATTTTCATTTTAAATTATATAATTTGGAACAGGAAAATTTAGATTTGAATAATGTAGGTTCTAATGTAATAATTATTATTGTTTAGATTTGAAGTGAAAATGTCAATTTGGAGATTAACTCTTGAAGAAGTTTTTATATGATTTTATCATACTTATTATGTAAATAAAAAAGTTATTATACAAATTTATTTAATAGAAGATTATAGATAAAACAGTTCGAAAATCTGTTTATAGATTTATCAATTTCTTTATATCAATTAATTTTTGACACCAACACCACCAACAATACTACTTCTGATTTTGCCATATGAAGTTTCCTTGTCGAAATTATAGCTCTGCCTTATCATATCTGAATTGCGTGATTTGCCCGATGGGATCATAAACCTCCTTTCTTGATATCTCTTCCACGTGTGACAATTTTTTTATTGTATTTTTTCAATTGATACCGGTCACCAGATGATGCAGTCCGAAGATATCATAATTTTTTTGGTCTATTTACAACACATATTCTGCTTGTTTAAATTTAAATTATATATAAAGAATAATATTCTATTTTATTATTGATGTTATTTAACGGATTTAGGGATTTGAAAACTAAAATTATAGAAAATGAACACTTGTTACAGAAGGGAAGAAAATAACTTTTTTTTGTGGATAATCACGTTAGCCAAATCATTTTAGGTAGGAAACAAAATGATGGGTTATGATGATTTGCCAACAGCCTGTCTATATGAAATTATTGATGCAACTTCATTCTCAATTCATGTATTTGCATTACATGTGCGTTCTGTCAATCACCAATAGTTAATCTCCCGTGATATAACCCCACAGCACAGTGTAAAATGCTTCATTAATCGGTTCAAAAAGAGATTAATTAATGTAAGAAGTTTAAAGTTTGAATTAATCTCCTTATTTGGAGACTATTGTTAACGATTTAACTTAGAAAAGGAATCTTCGCCTTTATAATCGAATGATATGACATCCCAATTTCTTGAGCTTTACAGCTTAGCTTCCTGATTGTTTTTCAACGTACGTCGTATAAAACACCCATTTTAGGCACCCGGGGCTTTGTCATTATACTTGTTGCACAAGGAACTAAGGCTAAATAAATAATGATTTGGTGTTTTGCCACTTGCTAATTCTTTTTCTCGGGAAAGTATACTTCTTTGAGGGTTTTCCTCTGCTTCCAGCCATGAAATTCAGGAGCTTTTGCTTTTGCATCCCAGGATCAAAGAAGGGAGCCAAGCAAGAAGATTCAGATAGTTCTAACAAAGCAAAATCCCATGAAAAATCTGATAAAAGTGGGAAAAAGAAGGGAGATGTCGATGATGCTGGAATGGCTGCTGCAGTAACAGGGGGTGCTACAGCAGCAAAAGCCTCCGCCGTGGAATGAGGCGGCAGCTTCTGTAGCCTGACACCGTTTGAAAACACAGCTGGTTCGGGTTCTTGGCCTTTTCTTGCCATATGGATTCCATAATCTTTCCTTTATCTTGTAAGCAAAGAGATGGACGAGTTGTTCTTGTTTTGTTTTATCTTGTTCATCTCTATATTTTTCGTTTTTGGTGTCTTGAGTTGATTGAGATTACTTGTTTTCGTGTACCTTTGAACGTCTATACTTCTTGTTATAATTTCCAAATAAGATTGACAATCATTTGAATTTCTTCTTCTTCCCGGGGTAGACCAAACACATTATTCAGAATACTTTTAAAAAATAGATGTACAAACATATGCATGGTGTTCATGATGTGCAGGGGTGAAGTCGGACAAAAAAATTAGGGGTCACATTAAATTACAATTTTTTTGGAGGGATCAAATGGTAGTTTTATCATTTTCCCAACGTAAAATTATTCAAATTATTAAGGGTTTTTAATGTGATGTTATCAATTTTGGGCCAGAGCCACTACCTCTCCACTGATCTTGAGCAAGTCCGAATATACAGAAGCTTGTTTTTGGTAGGTTCCTTCTTATAGAAGCAGATCGGTTAAATATAGAAACATATCTCGTACAAGTTCGGCTCAAAACTAATCGTTTTTCTTTATCGATAGTTGAACATCCAAATTAACACGTACCCTTATAAAATTCTTCAAATCTCTTGTAATCAACATTCTAATGAAGATGTTACTTGGCTAGGTAATAATTCAAAAGTTGATAAAATCCGTCATCAATTATTTTATTTTATTCAACAATGATCAGACACGGTTAACAAAACCCTGCAACCCGCTGAGTGTTTAATCATCTTGTTTAGTTTTCAAAGGTCTGATCTTGGGAAGAAAAACCCATTTGCTGTCAACCCACCATCAGCACAAATGATTTGTCCCGTTATGAAAGATGACGCTGGAAGGCAAAGGAATGCTACCAAATGGGCAACCTCTTCTGGTTCTCCAAGTCGCCCCATTGGTGTCCGAGAGATGACTGCTTCCATGAACTTACTGCTACTCAGAACCTGCAAACAAAACACTACTCATTCCATATGTTCATACCTGTATGTATGCTGAATAATTAAGACATTACTGGTTCCGTAAGTGGGGTTCTAATGAACCATGGAGCAACACAGTTGGTCCTGATGTTGTCTTTTGCCCATTCACATGCCAGTTCCTTTGTCAATTCGTTCATTGCTCCTGTTTAAACAAATTTTATAGAGACATGGTTTTAATTCAACTAGGATATATTTATAAGTCAGTCTATTTACCTTTTGTTGATCCATAGATAGATCCAAGATTGATTGAGAACACACCAGCAACAGAAGAAACAAAAACAATGCTTCCAGATCCTGATGCTTTGAGAAGGGGATACGCAAGTTGGCAGAAGTTGAATGCCGACTCGAAATTGGTACTCCACATTGTTGACACTTCTTTACTTGTATATTTCTCAGTTGGTTTCCAAATGTTCGTCCCGACATTATTTATCTACAAAGGTTCAGCTCATGAAAAACCTGTTGGAAATATTCTAGTATCGTTGTAAAACGAAAGTTGGCACAGGCAGAAAAATAATATAAATGAGAAAGAAAATCAAGTTTGACCGTGTCATGGATTAATTACCGTCTTACAAGTAAAATCGTAACGATTAGTAAAATCATTGAATGGACGTTGTCCTTTAATATTATTACGATCCTTCAAAACTTGTATTCCTAAAAATTGAAACAGATCATTTGTATTCCTAAAAATTGAAATAGAAACTGATCATATTATTCTTCTCGAAACTATAAAGAAAAAGAGAGAATACGAAATCGTTTGAATTTTCTTCAAAAAATTTATAAGCACACAATATATGTCAAAGACACATAGTTAGAACGATCACAATCACCCGACAATAACAAAAGCATGCACGTGCAAGAGATACATCCACCAATACTCAACAAAGAATAGAGAAAGGAATGATATATTAAAAAACTTTGTATTCATATGACTAAGTACAAGGAATTTAGCTTACAAGGATGTTAAGTTTGGCCTCAAACATGGAGGAAACTTTGCTGATCAGAGTTTCCCTTTCAGCTGGAGAGGTAGCATCACAGACCGAACCGAAAACTTGAAAACCCTTCATCTTCCATTGTTGCAAGCATTCATTCAGCTGATTTTGGTTGCGACTGCACGTGTAAACTGTTGCCCCCAGCGCAGCCAGTTCTTCCACAATAGCCAACCTATAACACCGTTTTCCAGTATTAATTGCAGAAACATAAATATTTTAACCGATCAAACATGAATATATTCATGGGGCAGAAACATGATTTTATGTTAAGGAATGAATTTCTAAAATTTTATGAGAGGATAAATTTATAAAATTCAGGAGGGTAAAAATAAATAATCAATAAAAAGTAGTATAAAGAAAGAATTTAAATATATGATAATTTGAAATTTTTAGACGCGACTGCCCTAACACCTCTTGGTTTATACTCTGGGAGGAGTGGATGTTATGCAGAAGAGCTGGGTTGCAAAGCTGGATTTCCGAAGGATTCATAGTAAAAAGTATAACAGTCATCGTATATGGAGAGAGTTAGGAGATGGTTACCCAATTCCTTTAGTGCCACCAGTGACGAGAGCGGTTGTTCCTTTGAGAGACCATTGGCTTAAACTTGAAGTTGAATCCCTTGCCATGATTTGTGAACTGTCTGTCGGTCTCTCTATTTCTCGAGTGTCGACAGCTTGATAAAAACTATCGAGGATGAGTACTATATTTTGTAACAATCATTCGGTGGCTGGTTGTGTTATGCGACAAAAAGTTGTGATCTTGTTATATATTATATACTTCGAAGCTCGATTACAAGTTGGCTTTCGTTTTTATGTATGCCAGTTGCATTTAAAAAATTGCTAATATAAATAATTAATGCCCCAAGATTCGATATATTTGCTGGAAAACAAGAACACGGTGACATTTGTTAGTAATCAATTTGTATTAAAAAAATTAGGTGATGTTGAAATTTTGATATGTCATTGTAAATGGATGATAATCTATAGAATTATATTGTGTTAATGTATTAAATATAATCTCAAAAAATATCACATATAAAATTTATGTATCTATATTATATATTTAAATTATAATTGTATCGTAATTTTTTTAATAGTATGAGATGATTATAAGATAGTATATGTTTATAATATTTCTGTAAATGTATTGTTCGAACCCAAGACTTAAATGTAGAACAATACTTCTTTTATTTACTTAGGTCATTCAATAAATTCTAGGGTAAAGTACACAATTGGTCCATCGACTATAATATACCACTTTATTGAGATGATCCCTCCACTGGAGGTAGTTGCTTAATAACTACCTCGACTATTAAAAGTTATAAAATAGACATATGATTATTCATTATGTTCTAAACTCGTCATTTTCGTTAAAAAAAATTAACGACAATCTAAACTAGACGTTAACCTGCTGATTGAGATATGATAAAATATAACCCCATAATCGTTTGAGTTTTATTTTGTGGATCAACTTTCCGTTTACATTATACTATCGAGCCATTGCTTGAAAGAGTATATTGTTGAACCATTGCTTGAAAGAAACGACATTGTCAATAGGTATTATTAAAACATAATTTTATCATATCTTAATCAACAAACTAATATATACAACTCTCGATTTTTTAACGAAAAAAGACGGTTTAAAACATATGAATAGTCGGGTGACTATTTTGTAATTTTTGATAATTGGAGGACTCAACAGAATAACATCTTCAAGTCGATGAATCATTTTATAACTTTTACTAGTCATGACTAAACAAAACATCATCCATGTAGTCGAAAGATCATTTGTGTGCTGTACCTTATAGTAATCTATTTTAAACTTACTACTCTGGTTTGTAGGTTTATACCCATTTAGGGTTCTAAGTTCGTTGTGGAAGCTTCGTAAAAAACTTATTGTCTCGTAGCTCAATCACAAGACATGGAGACAGCTGGGAAATAGCTCCTCTTCTTGGCTGGCTACAGGAGCTAAAGAACTACCCATTTCCATGGCAGAATTTTAAAAAAAAAATTATTCATGTCATCTTGGTTGCTGAAGAATGGATACCATTCAAAATGAGCACACGAGGAAAACAAAAATGTTTTGCAGGGGAGAAGTTCTTCAAATATGAAAGGATCTCTGCGGGTTGACTAACTAGCAGTTTTCTAGTAATTTTTTGGGTCGAAACCATTTACAGACATGCCACCATCAACACAGATAATCTGACCAGTTATGTAAGATGATGCAGGCATGCAAAGGAATGCTACCAAGGATGAAACCTCTGTCGGGTCTCCAAGTCGTCGAAGAGGGGTACGAGAGTACACCTCCTCTAAAAATTCTTTGCTGCTAAGTACCTGAAAAAAAGTAGTCTGATCAATGAAATGAAAGATTACTCCAAAAGCTCAAAAAGGTTTAAATACTATGATTCGTAGAGAGAGATTCGAATTAGGCGATGCATCGGTTTTCATTTCCCAAGTCTCGCTGAGAGAGCATATGCAATTGACATTCAAAATGGGAAGCAAGACATCATGCCCTGTAAACCGCATTTAACAACTATATCTGTTAGAAAACTTGGTCGCCATTTAACAACTAGAATAACTCTTTCACAAAATTCTTACTGCGGAGTAAGTTAACTTGAAACGGTCTAACGATGTTACACATATTAAACAGGGGAAACAAGCATCTAAGCTATTATGCCGGCATATCAAAGTCATTGCCCATCACTACGATAATCAGCATCATTGTGAAAGTGTAATCAGGATCCAGTGCAAATTGTAAAAAAGGAAATTACTTGTTCCACCAAGGAAGTTCTGATGTACCAAGGCGCAACAGCATTACTCCTTATGTTATCCTTCGCCCACTCGCATGCCAAGTTCTTTGTAAGTTGGTTGATAGCTCCTAGGCATCAAAATACAACACAACAGCCAAGTAAAACAAAAGGAAATAAACATTTGATTATAGAATTTGGCTTCACATATCAGCATTTTCAGTGAAATTTATCTTCTTAAATGTATACTATACCTTTAGTTGCTCCTTGTAGTGACATGGACTTGAGTGAAACAAATCCAGACACCGAAGAGGTGAATACAACACTTCCTAATCCTGATGCTCTGAGAAGTGGATATGCAAGTTGGCACAAGTTGAAAACAGATTCAAAATTGGTTGTCAAAAGAATTGAAACTTCTTCAGCTGTGAAATCTACCATTGGTTTCCTTATGTTTGTCCCAACATTGTTAACCTGTAAAGACAAAGCTACATTTTGATTTTAGTTTTAAACATTTAAGGAAGAAAAAAAAGGACCCGTTTCTAGCATTTAGTACACAATATTGCTACAACTCTCACAGGCAAAGAAACAAACACAACATATACATTCAAACAAAATAGGGAGGAGCTTACAAGGATATTGAGCTTGGAATCAAACAATGATGAAACCTTTTCCATTAAGCTCTCTCTTTGTGCTTTTAAGGACACATCGCAGATAGAACCAGAAACTTCAAAGCCCAAACTTTTCCATTCCAGCAAACACTTGTCAAGCTCATTTTCATTACGAGAACATGTGTGCACCGTTGCTCCAAGTCCAGCCAATTCCTCCACTATGGCACGTCTAGAAAAAAAAATGAAAAGAACCCAGTTCAAGAAAAACCTCAAAATTTTATGATTTACATTACTTTAAAACTAAAAGGCCAAGCTTTTTCATGTTTATAAAAATGGAGGAATTTCTTGTTTTTACCCAATTCCACGTGTGCCGCCAGTTACCAGGGCTGTCATTCCTTGGAGTGACCATCTGTTTGATTTTATGTTACCCTGCGCCATGGTTTGAATCCGATTCAAAATGGGGCTTTTGTATGGAAGTGGAGAGGAAGTTAGGGGTTTGAAAGAGAGGATGAAATCGGTGTTTAGTCGGGGTTTAAAACAAGAAGAAAATGGGATTTGGGTGTTAACGAGACCTGAAGAAGGCAGAATAGGAGCTTGTTTCATTGTTGAAGGATGTGCCAAGGCCTACAAGAGATTGTTTTTATGAAAATAAATGACTTTGGCGATGTGTTAATACAATTAAAGAAGCATAAGATTAAGCATTGCTTAAGAGGAGCAAGTTCGACAAAAGGCTCTAGGGAATTAAAGCTATCTCGTTTGTCATAGGAAAGGATTACGATTATGATATTTTCACTGTACCATAAAAGAAGATGTGATGTTGCTAACTGTAGAGAAATGTGTATAACAAAGAATATATACAATAAAGAATTGTATAGATTCATATTAGTTAGTACACTGCTTTTATAACAATGGTTTAGCTAACCATTAACCACCTAATAAATTAATTGACTTAGCTAATCAACCTAACAGACTAACCACCTTTACATGCATCAGTCTAACATTCCCCCTGCTCTTCTTTTTCTCCTTTTGACAGCAATCTAACATTCCCTCTATTTTTCATTCTTGATGAAAAGATGAACAATTGAATCGAAAGTGCGGATGCTTCCTTCCGTTCACTTGAATCGAAAGTGTCGATGCTTATTTTCGTTCTTCTTGAATCGAAAGTGCCGATGCTTCCTTCCGTTCACTTTGAATCGAAAGTGCCAATGCTTCCTTTAGTTCTTCTTATTCACCTTCATTTCTTCCTTCTTCACCCTCTTTTACAAGGTTCCTTTACATACTTTTTTCCTAATCAAGAGTTAAAGTTGTCCACCTAGAATTCTTTGTAGAATCCATACAAACTCCTGTTTGAGCTAACAAAGCCCATGTTTCAGAATAGTAATAGCTAGATATCATGAAAAAAAAACACGCCTAGTAACATCTAAATTGCAACGTTCTTGATATGAGATAATCGAGCTTTGCCATCTTCCCCATCTCAGATGGGCACCAATCTACTGCAGTAAGTTCACCATGGTGATTCTTTAAGATGATAGGCTCCGCTTAAGGCTTGTTCACCTTCCAAATATGAGTATTTCCTTTGCTGGAACCACTTAGTATGTAGTATGCGTCTGGACTGATTGCTGACTTCACATAAAAAAAACTCTATTTGGCATCCAGAGAAAGTTTACACCGGGCCCTTATCAAGCTGAACTATATTATACAAGTATATCCTGTTGTCCATGCATGATGCTGTTAGAAACACTCCTTTTGAGTCCTGGGACAAGCTAGATATACCCTTTTTAGATGCAGGCTCTGGTTGGGGACATGCCTGAGTGACATGGGATTTCAGATTCCTTGTATCCCAGAACTTCACAACGCTGTCTGCAGCTCTAGACATAGCAATGGAAATGTCATCTTTGAGATAAAGAACTGAAGTAATGGTTGCAACAACAGGCTTGCCACGTCTACCCGCCTTGCTTGAGATGAAGGATGAGCTCCTTTGACCAGAATAGTTGATGCAAGGCAAACTTCATCACTTCTACTTCGGGAGTTGATCTTGCATCTTAGATCCCAAACGGCAAAGGACCCATCTCTCGAACCGGAAACAACTAGATCAGAATTAGTAGAATGAGAACTCAAACATTTTACACTTCCTGTGTGCAACATTAAGACTCCAGTGCATTTCTTTTCCTGAGCATCCCATACCTTTATAGTTTGATCCCCTGAAGCTGTTAAAATGTAACGATCATCCTTCATCTAGCATACATCAAATGTGGCATTTTCATGAGCAACCCATTCACTGATTCTTGCTTTTTCAGTATTTCCCTGGTGTGATGCAGCGGTATCTTCCATTATATGAATCCCCTTCGTTTGTCTGACAGCATGAAATAGTTTAGTCATCGTACGCCAGTGGCCTTCCATTTTAAGCGGAGGTGGAAACGAAAGCTAGCGGCAATGGAGGAGGAGGACGACGAACTCCATGCAACGACTGTGAATCAGCAGCAGCCATGAACACCGAAACTTCTTGCAGTAGAAACGATTTCTCCAGGACTTATGGTGATTGATACCATGTAGAGAAGTGTGTATAACAAAGAATATACACAGTAAAGAATTGCATAGATTCATATTAGCTAGTACACTGCTTTTATAACAATGGTTTAGTTAACCATTAACCACCTAACAAACTAACTGACTTAGCTAATCAACCTAATAGACTAACCACCTTTACATGCATCAGTCAAACACTAACAGATTTGATGTTACACACGAACATTGGTTGACATTAATGTAAAGTGTGTGTGATTTGATTGAACTTTTTAAGACGTCAACCACAAAATTTTATCATAATTTCTTTTGTATTATTTATGGAGAATGATAATTCTCGATTTAAAGATAATAAAAACAATGGTTATATTCAATTAAAATGAAAGTTTATTAGGTTTTTGATTTAAGCATTCATCTTCATTTCCTTAAAGCCTCATTTCCTCTCCCCTCTAAGTAGAATTAACATTAGATTTAGAATTTATAAAATAAAAATAAAAATAAAAAATATAACAAGTCAATTATTGAGTTATTTATTTGACTTTTATATTACTCTTTGTTTCACTGTATTAGAAAGATAAATTTAGTTAAATAATTTTTTTGTGTACTTGAGGCAACGAGATTATGAGAATGATTTATGTATTATAACATTTTCTACGTAATAATTTCTTTAAATATCTTTAAAAACGGTCGTGTTCTTTTTTTTCATTTAATTTTTTATGTAATATTCTTATGTTTCATTTATTATATTATATTACATTAAAGTTTTTTTTATGATTCTCTCCATTTACAATAAAAAATACTATACGATTAAACAAGATAATAAATAAAGGTAATCTAGGATGGAATCATCATTGAACTTGTATTATAATAAATCAAAAGTCAAGTATAGTTTCTCATTTTTATATGCTTTTATCTCCATTTGTATCATAGTAAAAAGGCAAGCGCGGGGATTTGAATGCTCTGTATTTTCCCACATTGTTTAAGGGTGCGTTTGGTTCACAGAATGTAAGATTATCAGTGGAAATAAAAGATTAATAGGGAATAGGATTACTGAGAATGTTATATTTTGTGTTTGGTTGGTTTAGCAGGAATGTAAGATTACCGTGTTTGGTTAAATAATAAAAGATTATTGAAATGTATATTTGACCAAATTGTCCTTATTATATATTTGTATAATATTACAAATTGTAAAATATTTATATATTTTCTTTAAAAAATTAAATTCATAATATTTATATAATTTGTTTTACAAAATTAAAAAATATAAAAAAGGTTTCATGAAAGGGTAAAAAAAAATTTACCATGAACTTCATATAAAAATTTTAATTATAGATTTTTTTTGTAAATCTAAAATAATTTAAGGATAAATTTGTAATTTAACCTTCGTAGAATTTTTATTATTCAATGACAGAAGAATGATATTTTTGAAAAAAATAAAAATTTAAGGACATTTTAGTCCAAAACGCCGGTAATGTTACAATACATAAGGGAAGAGATGTAATGACATTCCCGGTAATATACCCAAAAAATCTACTATTGGTAATAAAACATTACCGGGAATGAGATTTCGACCAACCAAACATGGGAATCCCACAATCCTTGAACCAAACACCCCCTTAGAGGTTGACGGCAGGATCAGATACAACATATAATTTTATATCGGGTGAATTTATAAAATTTTAAAGAGAGATTAACTTGTAAAATTTTAAATTTAAAAGTAAAGTTTCAGTCAAAAATAATAATAAAATCTAAAATTTAAAAATTTTAAATAACGATCGTCCCACAAGCTCTATCAACTGTCCACATAAGATGCGGAGACCTCAGAAGAGGGACCAATTTCACCAGGCCCAATTGTGACAATTTTGTTGGCGTTTATTCTGCATCTTGGAAGTTGGATTTTACACCATTTGGCCTGCTCTATTCTTGGTTGGATATGATCTGTAGTGACAAAAGATAACTATGTTGAGCAATAAAACCCATAGTCCATAAATGGTTATTATGTAAACTATTTATCAAACAAAAAATTTCAAATATATAAATTGCATTAATTTTAGAATTAAAATAAATATATTAAATAAAATTTAAGATTTAAAGTTTGAGTTATAAAATTAAAAAATAAAAATAAATATATTTAGGGGCTGTTTGTTTACTTCAGAATGATTAAGCGTTGAATGATTCAAATGTTGAATGATTTAGAGGCTCTGAATGGTTAGCTCTGAATGTGACATATTGTTTGATAACTGGCTCTGAATGATTCAGAATGTACTTTTTGCTGAATCAATCAGTACTATTTTACTGAATCAATTAGCATTGAATAATTCAAGATACGAAATAAACACAAGCGGAAAGGTTTAGTTTTTATTTGACTATAAGCGCCGGTATTGAACTTAGCGTAGCTCTAGAAAAAGCGCATCGCAACAGAAAAATAAGAAAAAAACTGAACGAGCTCTTGAGTTACGCCACGTCGCCCCTAAGCTATCTGTCCATTCCCTCTTTCTTTCTGTAATATGTTATTGTTATGCTCCGATTCTCCAAAGTCCAAACCCTATCTTCCCTTTCTTTAATTTCACCCCGTCGATCAAATTTTAAACCCCTAGCTTCTTAAGAATCTCTTCTTTTTCTCTTAAAAGATTTTCCCAGGAAAAAAAGAATCCAAGAATTGATTTCATTGTCAGAAAAGAAAAAAAGTAGAAGAATCGAGGAGCTTGGTTGAAGATTTGGACACACAAAAAATGACGTCGTGGACAACGAGCGCGGTTTACATCCACGTCATCGAAGACGTCATTAACAAGGTTCGCGATGAGTTTATCAACAACGGTGGACCAGGCGAAAGTGTCCTCAATGAACTCCAAGGAGTAAAAAGCCTTCTCCATTTCCTTCTTTCATTGATTTAATTTTAGGGTTATGCCCGTTGTTTTAGAAATTAGTAGGTTTTGAGACAATTTATGTGTATAGATTTCATCTGATCCAATACACTACGGTTTGTTAATGATCTTATCGGAAGGAAACTGATCTAGTTGAATTGTTGGATATTGGGTCTTAGCTTTGGGAGATGAAGATGATGCAAGCGAGAGCTATCGTTGGTCCAATAGAGAGG